CAAATATGTAGCTGAACAGCAATCTGTTCAAGAGAGCATTGATACTTTGTGGGTTAAGGTTAAACGGCAAATGTCAAAATTTAATGCTAAAGATGCAAGTAATGTAAAGATTGAAAATACCAGCGCACAAGGTAAGAAATTACCTAAATTAAACTTGCTATCTTTTATTGGAAATATTCAAGATTGGTTAAGCTTTCATAATAATAATGTATTATCGGATTCCCAAAAGCTCTCGTATTTGGAGTTATCGCCTCATGGCGAAGCAGCTAGGATTATTCAATCAGTCACACTTTGTGACAGTAACTATAAAATTGCTTGGGATTTTTTAGAAGAGAGATACTCCAATAAACGTGATCAGGTTTCGCCCGATAAGCGTTCACGTCATTTCTCCCATACAAATGAAAGCCTGTTTTATTTTAAAATTAGTAACACAGTGAATGAAAGTGTAAGTCTCTGGAATATTAGACCAAAAAATAGGAATTCTCAGAAACATTTCTCTTGCATATATTTGCTGCAAAAATTGGATGTTTCCACTCGTCTTTGGTAGGAAAGAGATTCAAAACAAGTGAGTTACCTAAATTATCTGACTTATTACATTTTCTAAAAAAATCATGCCGAACTTGCGTCATCAAAGTTCATCCAATGGTTAATGCAAAAAAGGGTCAACCTATTCAAGAAGGTGACTGCCTGGGGCGAATGTAAAGGTCAAGATTTTAAAGTATTTTGTAAAAGTAACAATTTTCACAAGTTGTATAAATATAATTCTTTCTTGAAAATGACTGTAAGTGAATGTCTTGAATTTGTTAAGAAACATAAATTATGTTTTAATTGCTTGGCCTTTAATCCGACTCATTCTGCAAAGAACTGTCGTTCAGAATTCAGCTGTTCAAAACGCATGAAAAAACATCATAGTTTTAAATTCACGTCCAATATCCCCTTTGTGAAATGACACCAATGATTTATAAGCTCTTACACCAGCATACTTTCTAGTCGGGCAACCTTTAACATCAATAACAGAGCCTGATTTAACTGATTTTTCTGATAGTTCTTTAAAGCGATGGAGCGCACTACTAAAGTTATGCAATATTTGGAAAATGGCAAATGAGTACATCAGTCTTTACAGCACGATTTAAGTGTTATTTCTCTAAGGATAATGTAAAAAGGGCACTATAGTTTGGTAAGGAAGACAACATGCCCTTGACTTGATTATTGGGTAAATAGAAGGTATTTATGGTAGGATAAAAAGTTAGAGTTTGTATTGCAAAACCAAGTCAGGTTTTTAAAAAGACCAATAACTAATTAGCTGTACTACCAGTAGATGTACATAATTTCATTATTTCCTGAGTTCAAAAAATTATTATTATGCATTGTATTTTAATTTAGATGTTTGCATTTATGTTCTGTGCTTATTATGTTTATTGCTTTGTTCATGTGTCAATTTAAATTTTGTGATTTGAGTTGGACTATATTGTGATTGAAACTGTTTAATTTTGGTCATTGTTACATGTAACAATGCCCAACCCGGCGGCTGTTAAGGCAGAAGGATCTGGCAACCCATGAGCGAAACAACAAGTGACCGCTAGCGCCATATTTTGGATTGATTGCGTGCTGGGAGGTGCACGTATGGAGATGGCAAGAGTGTCCATCTAAACAGAAGTAAAATAAAAGAAAGCTACAGTCTATTAAATTCAGTGTTTGTATTTCATGAATACTTTTATTGTCGAATAAATACTATGAGTAAAAAGCAAAGACATTTGATAGAAGATGATGACATTCATCAAGACTTGCTTCTAGCAGACAGTGACTTTTGAAAACAGCTAGAAAATTCTGATCTGAGTACATATCTTAAGAAAATTTATTACTGTATATTAGAATCAAATAAAATAATAATTCAATAATTTAATCTGTACTATTTTTGTGATTAAATTATTTATAAATCATTTTGAGTTTATATATAAAGTAATAACTTAAACAGTGAAAAATATGATAAAATTCCTGATTTATAATAGGAAATTCACTGTAGCGACGCAGAAGGAGTTCAGAGAAAAACCCATATGCTTTACACAAAATTTTAATGCTTATTAGTTTTCCCTGATCTGGTAAAAGTTAATCAGTTAAAAAACCCCTAACAGACATTAACCCTTTAACTGTCAAGTTATTTTGATGATTTGGGTACACAAATTGTCAAATTTTTTATTGCACAAACAATTTTAGTACAAAATAAAACTCCTAGTAGTTAAAAGTGATTTTTGAAGTACGTGGGTAACTTTTTAAACTTTTGTAGCCACTCGTATTGCTTGAGCGGCTGCCACGCACTGGCATTTAAGTGCTTCTAGTGGAGCACTAGTTTCTAAAATGAAAAATTAATTTTTTCTAAAAATGAATATTAGTGAATACCTATTAGTATTTATAATCAGTCAGTGTGTACAACGGGAACACTTTTCCAAGCCAAATCCAACTCACAATCACAACCAAATCGGCTTCCTCCTTCCTTTCCTTTCCCCCATTTTTATCCTTTTCGAAACACACTTTGCACGTCTAGGCTCACTTTTCGCAGGATAGGAGGAATATGGATATAAATTCGTTCGTAGACGGGCAGATTTGGTGTCGCAACTTCTTATGTCTACAAGCTGCCTCATCTTTTATGTAAAGCCTTCTTCCACTTGGAGTTGAATTCGAAAAATGTAATACTTTTCCAACATATTTTTATAGAGCAAATATAGTTCCAGGTACCATTGTCAGTCATGTAAAATATCTTTTATAATATTTTTTCTGGCGTTTTCGGATTTGTTGGATGACATTAATTTCTAATCACAGCCGACTACACCATCCTCGTTAGACTGTATTAAAACAATCTTCGGCTTGAGTATATCTTCATTTTTTATTTGTTTTTTATTTTTGAGGCTGACCATGGAAGTATCATAAATACTGCTCATCAAATACACATCCTTCATCTTGGGTTGAAGAATCTAAATCTATATAACATTTCAAAAAAGAAGATGCCATTTTACAACAAAAAGATCCCATGCACTTTAAACCAAAGCACTTAAACCTCTAACCTTTGAAATCTTCAGTTAAGTGCTGTCATCTATTGAATTGAGCGCACATTAACTTTCCCCGGGATACAGTCGGGTTAGACAAAGAGATGAAGCTGAAATAAAAGTCTCCCGATATATATTCGGGTATAACAACACGATGCACTCAAAAAAATTACCCCGAGAGATACTTGGGCGTGACATTTTCGAACACCAGTGCTGTGCCCGAGATTATCTCGGGCATGACAGTTAAAAGGTTAAATGAATCACCACTATGTCTGGAAATTACTACAGAAACAGGGAAAGGGTTAAATATACCTTTTTATTTAAAGAGAACCTAAAACATAAATACATGTTCTTGTGCTAAATATGGACCACAACTTGTGGTGATGCAACTATAGTAACAGTCAAATTCAAATTAAAATATGGATTGTAATCAAAGACTGCATAATTTAATCCTTTGCATTCATATGTTTATACATAGATATCATGCTGGCCAGAATTCATTTTTGTTGAATGAACAGTAATACATAATATGCAAGATTCTGAAGCTTCTTGACTTAATATAAGATCAGTATGATTTTTTGTTGTGGTGGCTGAGAGTAGACACATGTTTGGAACAGTAAAAAAGCTTTTGTGGCTGACAGCAGACATATGACTAGAACAGTAAAAAAGCTTTGGTAGCTGTGAGCAAACATACAACTAGAACGGTAAAAAACCTTTGGTGGCTGAGAGTAGACATATGACCGCAAAGGTTTGAATCTCACTTTAAACATTAACAGTGTCGCAGATTACAGTGTCAGCAGTAATAATGCAGAGCAAAATAATTACAATTTATCAGAGCTGGCTGAAACCAAATGTATTGTGCCCGCAGAGGCCAGAAACATGGTATGTCTTACAATCCCAAAATCTCAGTTTAAATATTAGCTAACCTCATTTATACTCTTGTGAGAAAATGGAAAGGTGAAGTTTTAGTAAAAGCTAAAGTTATAAATAACTGGTTAATTTAAATACTAGCCTAATATGCTGCTATTTTTATATTATTCGGAGTACAAATAATTCTCTGCCATTTAACAAAAAATGGCCCCACCAATAAGTTATGGTTAAAATTGTCTCCTGTAAAATGTCTTATCATTAGGTTGGTTCCTGTCAAATGTCTATGAGTAAAAGCAAAGACATTTGATAGAATGTCTCCTGTCAAATGTCTTATCATCTGCTAACAACAAAACCCTCAAATATTAGTGATTTTTTTTATCAGCATTGTATATTTTTTTATGCAAAAATGTCGAGTTTTGAGCCAAATGAGAATCATTTGCAGGAACTTTTGATTTACTTCTTTAATTTGCAGAAAACTGCAGCTGAGGTGCATCGACTGCTTGTAGAAACATATGGCAAGGCTGCCTTAAGTAAGAGAAGCTGTTTGAGATTTTTCAAAAGTTTAAGAACTGTGAATTTGATGTCACAATGAGCATAGGGGAAGGCTGAAAATGTATGAAGACGTGGAATTGGGTGCATTTTTGAAAGAAAATTGAATGCCAAATGCAAGTAGAACATACACTTACATTAGGAGTAACTCAACAAGCAATTTCACATGGTTTAAAATCATTGAGAATGAGACAAAAGCAAGGAAATTGGGTTCCATATGAACTGAAGCCAAGAAATGTTGAACTCCAATTTTTTACACATGAAATGATGCTTGCCAGGTTAACAAAAGGGCTTTTTTCACCATATAGTCCTGGTGATGAAAAATGGATCCATTACAATAACCTAAAAAAGAAGAAATCACGGAAATCACCCGGCCATGATTCAACAATGAAAAGAAAAATGTGCCCACTACTATTACAGACATGATAAAATTATTCTCCTGCATGATAACACTCATCCACATGTCCCATCTAACCTACTCAGAAACATTCATATGGGATTTCCCCCACCCGCTGCATTCACCAGATATTGCTCCTTCTGATTACTACCTGTTCGGATTGATGACGCATGGCCTGTCTGAGCAGAGCTTCATATGAAGCATCATATGAAGATCTCAAAAATTGGGTTGATTTGCGGATAGCCTCGAAAGATGTAGCGTTCTTCCAATATATTATCAGTATGCTGCCAGAAAGATAGGAAAAAGTAGTGGTTAGTGATGCACAATATTTTAAATAAAACATGATGTAGCATTTTCTTTCACAATAAATGCCCAATATTTGATAAAAAGAAGGCGGAGACTTATTTGCACTCCCAATAAAAATCTGCTGAATTACAAAATTTAGATTTTTTTAAAAAAATTAATACTACTTATACAAAGCTATGGAAACATTTGTAAAGCTTTAGTAAAGAAGAAAAACTTACATTAAGATCAGCTTCTACATCAATGTTCTTAACTGAATTATAAGCTTGTGTATATAATTCAAGAGCTTTAGCATGAAAAATCAGTTCAATTTTTATAAATTCCAGAAACAACCTCTGAAAATAAAAAAGACATCAAAGAATATTTCTGAAGTCTCAACATTTTAAATAATATAATTGATTTACAAAATAATGCTAACATATTTTCTTTAGCATTAAAAGAAATAACAAATACCCTCAAATCTTCCAGTTTTTGTTTCTCAAAATGATCAATACGCTTTCCCAGTTCGTGAGTTGTACGAGTAGCCTCATCCCGCGCCTGGTTCACTTCTTTTTCAGCCTGAGAGAATTTTATTGAATTCAGTTTCATATTATATGTGTACTACATTCCACATTTTAAATACAATACAAATAATGTAAATTTGAAATACGAGTACATTACAAACTTCAGTAATCAGAGTTCTGTTTTTCAAGCTTTTAAGAGTAAGTTCTTAATATATTAGAAGTTTCATGACTCAAATTTCTAAAGTACAACTCAGTTTTACTATAAGGGTGAAGAAAAATAACACTGTATCAGTTAGGCCAGAAAAGAAACACACATTTTGTAATAAAAATAAGTAATCTTTATGTATTGCAGCTCTTAGCAATAGTTTTATATGCTATTCTTTTACACAAACTTTTTCAATGCAGTTTAATTTAAAAATACAGTTTTTCTGATTTTAATCATGCTTTACATTAATTACATATTTGTTAGCATTTTCTTCCTCGAATACATACAGTAACCTCTGTCTTATTATTTTAAATATATTTATATATGTATCTCATATATAAATATGAT